CCCCCCTCGACCCTTTTCCGCGCGCTCGGCTCGACACTCTACTCACCTTGATGACGAAATCGGCCAGATGCTTGCTCAGCTCATCCTGGTCTGGAAAGGACACAAGGATGGGGTCCGCAGGCTGGGTGGATGGGGCGTTGGGTGCGATGGGCGCCATATTGACTGCGATACAGGGCAGAGGAGGATGACGTTCAGTGCTTCCGAGGTGCTCGACGTCGGTGGACCTTGAGAACAACCTTAGCAGATACAGTATCTATCGAGCGTTTGAGCTGCGCTTGCTGAGTCGATTGGCTGATGCACGTACACTGCGGTTGATGTGTTCAGCTATGAGTGGATGTTGAGGATGGGCAAACAGTTTGAGTAGTCACAGTGTGAGGTACGCAGCAGAAAGTGATGAGCGATCGTCTGTCTGTTCGTTGGGAGCAGTGGAGGTTGTGACGCCGCAAGACTCGCGCGATAAGGCGATCGATCGATCGATCGAGTGACGGTTCGGTGCGCTTCGCTACCCTGTATACTGTGCAGTACTCACTCGTGACTGACTGTGACTGTGACTGTAGGTACCACCATACTCACGCCTGACCTCGCTCGCCAGCCCGTGCGTGCGTCTAGCTGCTGCTGCTGCATGTGCTGCATGCATGCCTATTCACGATCAGCCACGCGCACGGACGGTGCGCGCGTGCAGCAAGCATCAACGATGACATCCTTCTCGAGCCATGCATGCGCATTCAAATCATTTGGTTCAAATCATATGCAACTGATGCCCCAGCATCGCGGTGACTCTCGACTTTAGGTGTGATTTAAAAAGAGAAAACCAAAGACTAGAGAAAACAATTTGACTGACTGAGTGAGCTCACGCGCTCGATCTATCTCTCGTGCTGCTGCTCACTGCAGCTGCTGCATGCTAGCTGCTGCTGAGAGGGACGCGATCACCGCGCGCTAGAATTCACACGTGCGCGCGATGATGCCATCCATGAGCGCGCGGTCTAGCTGTCTAGGCTGTTGTGTATATATAGGTACTGTATAATAAATAGCGGCGACATCGCCCGTGCACGAGCACGAGCACGAGCACGAGCACGGCCAGAGGGCTCCGCGCCAAAACTTGCCTTTGTGGGCGTAGACACGTGATCATGTGCACGCTATAGCAGAAAAGTCGACCGCGCGTCTTGCTTGACACACGATTCACGATTCAGATTATATGGGCGTAGCTGTGCGCATCTGCTGATGATTCGGCGCGGTGGGCCTTGACAAGAAGATTCCGTCCACAACTCTGGCTTACATGTATCATCCACTCGTGCCGTATCCCCTTGCTTGATTCTTGATTCAAGCTTGCGAGAAGGAGAGTCACGTGAGTCACAGGGCTTGTGAGAAGGTAGTGAGGGAACAAGCTGCAGGAAAGCAAGTTTGGGAAAGTGCACCAGAAGACAAAGAACAGTCTGACGCGAAGGCCCTCCGCGATCACACGGACATCAAGTGAAGATGTGCCTGCAAGGTGCAATGTCAAAGGAGCAAAGCAGTCATCAGTCTTGCAGATCGAAGGAGTTTA